CAAGAATTGCCGGCCAGCACCACTCCAAAAAAACAGCACCTGCCCTGTCAGATTACGTATTCTCTGTGTGCGCTGGGATGGCAGAAATTCCCAGGAGTTTTGGGCTGGCTCAAATTTTCCATCAGATTTCTATCTACCCAGGCTTGGGGTTACACTACCCCTTTAACTATGACTCTGATCTGTTGATGCTGTTTTTTGTAGTCCCTCAGTAAACTTATTGATATCAGGAAGGTATTGCTGTATGCAGGAAAGATACATATACCTAATGTCACGCTTGTGTGAAGACAAGGCAATAAAAATTCAAGGACATTCAAACATTTTGGTATCAACAGGAATCATGCTCTTGTTTCCTGTATAGATAAGATCAGACATGTATCAAATTGCTGTGACTGTTTTTGTTTGTGTTTCTGTCAGTGCTTTGGCAGTCACAGTTTACATTTACGTTGTTTACAAGCAACATTTAAGACAAGGTACATGTACATGTATGCATGTTATATATGCATTTTGGTACATGGACAAGGTACATGTATGCATGTTATATACGCATTTTGCAAGATTTGAAGGAGTTACAATGGTTTTACAAGGTAATGAAGTACGAATCCTCATCATACATGATAATAAACAGTAATTAAATTACGTACAATCTCAGCCTGAAGATATCATACTTGTATGTTGCCACAAATTGTAAATAAACATGTAAACGGCTCTTTAGACATTTTTGATGTCAGGGACATTATAGATGCAATTTTTTAAGTTTGAATGTCATTAATATCTGTTACAAAAGAAGGAGAAAAAAATTTAAAAGATTTGTAGAATTTCCTAACTGTCAGAATTCCTTGATGCTTTCGAAGAAGATTTTACAATTACAAAGTGAAGGGGTAACCTTGGCTAGGACTGGAAATTATTCACTGAATCAGGCAGCAAACATGTTGATGTGAAGACAGTAACAAATTTGGATGCATTGACATTGCATCGTCAGTGCATTACACATTCGTTGCTCATCAAGATATGCATATTTCCCATGCACTGTGTATGCTCGTGTGTGTCAGGGTTACGGCTCCAGCAATTTACACTCATTATGAGTCAGCGGTTGATACGTCGTCGACTGGTGTCATCGCGCAGCAGCGTTGCTTGGCTGGTTGTTTCCAAGCAGGAGACCCTGTGTCCACCCACAGAGAGTGAATGGATGACAGCCCCAGGCCTTCCTGGAATCCTGTTGTTTTAATAATTAGTGTAGATGCACATTCATGGCAGGGACATGTTGCAATTATGACTTGATTAGATTAGCATGGCGAACATTTTGCATACCACAAGTGTGTTTTCTACATGTACATTGGAAGTGTACATATGTTATCTGTGTAATGATATGATAATGCATTGGCACACACTTATCAAGGATGATACATACACAGTGTATATTGTATATTTTAATTCTTGGCTCTTGCATACAGTTTCAAGGAGATGTAGTCAATCTATTCATCAGACTATTTCAAACTCATGACATCAATGCTGTTTTTCCCTCCTGTGTGTCTGACTGTACGGAGTATTTTCGTGCACCAAGCGCTCAGCAAACTGTTTGGGTTTGACAATTATGATAAAAGATTGATTAGATGTAGGCATTGAGAAGGAAAATGGCAACTGCTGACAATAAATCCAAAAGAATAAATGGTGGAGTGGAAATTTACCAGTAAAGATTGAATCATTTTTTAATTTAGAATGACATTTTAGAATTATTACTGCCATTCTTTTTCTTGTACTTTTTAGTGACGTTTAAAATATTAATGTTTTGTTTTTGTTTTTTATGTCATGCCACATGCGCAGTTGGCTTCTGGGCCATGATGGCGCATTGTAATAACTCAAACCAAAACCCCAAACAAATTATGAACTAAAATAAAACGAAAACGAAAAAAAAAAGCAGATTAGGTAAGAGTAGTTAAAATGTATACGGTTGTGCCTGGCTAATTATGCAGGAGCAGCGCTGCACATTTCACTTTGCTCTCTTCCTGGTGATAGAAATTTGTCATCAGGGTTGGAGTTGCAGGGGGAACAGAGCGAGTTATATCAGTGCGGCAGTCTCCACCAGCTCATTGGCAGTGTGATGGATCATAGAACCAGGCATTTCCATTCTTAGAATCCTGTGGAGTGTGACGGGCGGCAGGGCACATCCCTCCTGCTGTGACTCTGAAATTTTAAAGGTCTTGCTTAGTCACGTTGATAATTGTACTATTTGTGGACGATCGGCACACACTCACATACATGTATGCAGAAAAACAAAAAAAAGTGCATCGGTTGAATTTGTGTCCCTCTGTGAACTGACGAGTTTGGGCAGGATGAGTAATTGTAAAGTGTTAAATGCTGCCCCAAATGGGAATGCACAGATGTTGATGAGGTATCTTTGACGTCACTTTTACGGGTCACTTTGAAAGCGGTCGTTGAAGCATCAAGTTGAAGCATCAAGTTTTATCAACTGTCAACAGCTGTGATGTGGAACAGGAGTTTTTTTGACAGCTGAGATATGCATTACAGTTGAGTTGAAGCTGATGATATCAGGCGTCCCTAGAGGGTAAAGGAGGATCATTGTTTGATTTGTTCTGTTGCTGTGATCATTGTAAAAATTAACATACTGGTGGTTGCTTCAAAGTAAACTTAAAAATTGTACATGTACATAAGTAGCATTCCATTTGCACTTGGCACTGGCATGGAAGACCATCAGTTGAAGACTTTTTGCCTGTAATATGAAGATATTGCCGTGACACATACGTGTACATGTACAAGTTACGTGATAGTTTGAAAATATGGTAAAATGTTTTCGGGGCTGTGTTTTGGGAAAAAAAGAGAAGGGGGGGGGCCTTTGTTAGGTTCCAGGCTAGCCAACGGCCTTCGTGTCTTTACTCATTTGTGTATTCCTAGCATGGAGATTGCACAACTTATTCTGTGAATCCCTTGCACATTTTGACAGGTTGCGGGTGAGTGGTGCCAATCAGTGGCACTCAGTTTTAACCCAGCCTGTCTGTTTGTAACCGTTTGAGGGAGCTCTAGTGCACAGAGGAGAGCCATTGCCAATCCGTATTTCACCATTGTGTCATTGTTACTGTTGTCAAGGAGTTTTACACCAGCTCCTTGCTGCTGCTGGACAGAAGCATCAGCTTGGAATGGTAGGCATTAATGACGAAGAGCCAATTTTGGAGCTTTGGCAAATGCCACTAATAATTGGCAAAGAGTTAAAGATGTTTGTACAGCCTGGTGAATATGAACTCATTCCAGTCGGCCTGATGAGGACCATCTTCTGTCTTGGTCATACACACTGTGCGTGGGGGGTCTTTCATAAAATCGTTGTGCTCTGGGTTTATGTTTAACACAAGTAAACAAAACCATGCTGCTTTTTGCCTCGGAATAGCTAGTTGAGGTGGATATTTGGGTTTGATTACTTCCATGCCCCCTCTCAAAATCCTCCTGATCTTTGAGCCGTGCCATCAAATGAGTCACAGACTGTTTGTTTTGCGGCAGGCCATAGGCCCCACTCCAGATGCTGGACCCATTGATGAGGTGGCCAGAAATGAAATCATAAGAAAAGTAGCCGAAATATTGATGAAAAACACCACCAGCAGCTGGACCAGTAAATCCCATTGTCTTTGTCATAAATTATGGAAACTTGCCAGCGAGTTGCCAGTGTGAATGTATGCAAGAGCGGGCAACGGCTCAACATATCGTAGGGCTTGTTGTGAGATTATTAATTAAAAGTCCTGGGTCAATGAAAGTTCGGTACACTGTATATTACTTGGACAGAGTTATGACTTGAGGCTCAGGGGAGGTTATCTTAGAGGCGTTTTCTGAAGAGCCAGACAAGTAGGAGTTTAATTACATCACACGAACTGGCAGTTATATTGCTTAAAACCATTTTCCTCAAATAATGGTTCCCTGAACTATAAGTATTCCTACAGAAGTAGAAAGTTCTCTCATGTGTTACTTATTTTGGGAAAAAAGGGAATATGGGTCGAGAAATGTAAATTCCAAAGTTTTGTGTTTATTAGGAGCAATTCTAACACAGGTATTAAAAGAGTAAGATTATGGGCAGACATTCTGACTGCGTGTTGTCTGGCGTAACAAATGTGGATGAGCTCAGTAGCGTGTGAAGTCGTACGGAGTCCAGATCTTATCAACATTTGTGGTCCAGTTACCCAATAGTCAAATTAATTGTGCAGTTCTCATACAAGGAGGAAAGGATAGGCTTACTTGAAACCGCAACTAGAGTGATCTCTTGCCATGCAGCAGATTAAAAATGGATGATGGCTGGGGACAATCTGTGAATAATGATGCTCCCTTGACATTAATGGTCCCAAAAACCCAAAGGAAATGGCACTCAACCAGTGTCTGTTCATGTTAAAGTGGTTTTGAACAAAGTATTTAAGCGTGTGATTTCCAATTGGAAATTGTTTATACCACCATGTGCATGTGACATATAATTTCTTAGCATTTATACATGGATATGCATTCACATTGTAGGCATATAAGAATGTAAAATTTATTCTTGAAATCTTGCTGTCTGTTGCAATGCGAGGAAAGCCTCTCAACTCTTTTACACTGTGCTTTGAAATGGCATTGCAGGTGTTCCTGGTGAGCTACAGGCACCATCAGAGATATGTGCCACATTAAAGTCCACTTGCCCCAATTACCAGCACCCATACATCAAAGTATTTCACCAACTGTAATCATTCCTGAGCCATTAGTGGCTTATCAAATCACTGAGTCATCAGAAATCCCAGCAGACATGGCCATATTTTGGTTGAAAGAGAGAGAGAGAGATGATGGGAAAAAAAGGAAAAGAAATGGTTCCATTGTTAAAGGATCGGGGTGCAAGGTTCAATTATTGTCGCCTGCTGCCACTTTCATATGCTAATTACCCGCTGACATTCCTAAGTTTTCTCTTTCATTAACTGGAGTGTTTTTGCCCCTGCTTCTGTTATTCACATTTGGTGTTTGTGTCTCTTCTTCCCGTGCAGATTGAAAACATTGATAAATGTTTACATTGTCTGTCGGCTAGGGGTGTGAACACGCAGGGCCTTCTTGCCAAAGGTAGGTGGATGCCCATCTTGGGACGAAATCATGATATTGTGGGAGGTGCCAGTCTTGTTCATATAAGTGAACAAGGTTTGGACTATTTGACAATTCTGGGTTTAACTGCTCCAAACACCAGTAACTTCTCTGTAGATGTGCAAGTTTGATCGCATCATATGGTGGGTACTGGTGATTTGCGGTGGTGTGGAATGGTCATGTGTCCAGTGTCTAAAAATGAACATGTCATTCTCATCTCGCAAAGACTGTCATGCACATCATTTGCTTCACAAGGGTGCAGTGCATGGTGCATATGCTAGATGTGTGGGATGTGAGTAGCAACAGAGCTCTGCAACATCTCACCCGGATAATGTGACTTTTGTTTTTATAAACCTGACTTGTGGCCCTTTTGGCCAATGAAACGAGAGTATCCAAGACACACAATATACATTTATGTTACTGTGGTATTTGTTTTGCTCATTAGCATTGGTACAAATATGGTACACTTTTAGAACCCCAGGTTTTTTTAATCCTCTGACATACATGTACGTAGACTCCCAAGTACAGAGTAAAGTTTGAAGCTAAATGGAATAATTAGTCAAGAGACTGGAGAGAACTCAGTATGCCTGACTGAATCTTTCATAGCTTGTGTGGCGGAGCCACATCTGCTTTCATCATTTGGGCCAGAGAGCCCTGGTATGGAAGTAATCCACCATGCTAGTATTTTGAGGGCTACAGGCGAGACAAGCTTCAGTGCAACTGATACATCTGAGACAGTTACGTGGCCGCGCAGGCTCTGTGTTACCTGTAATTGAGAGTCGTCGCCACTCTCAAAATGAAAAAAAAAAGGGGGGTCTGGAATAGCCATCTGTGGCCATAGATTCATTTGTGCATTGAATCCTCACCCTGCATTATAGTTTACGAAGCTACAGACTAATTTAAAGCTCCTTGTTCATTGTGCATGCATGGAAAGATTGCTTTGCCAGTTTTGTCATGATGACATCTTGGGAAAGGATAGAAATTTCCTCTGAAGCTGCTTCCATTTATTATGATAATGAATTGTTGATCATTTGTGCATGTGCACAAAAAAAGGAGAGAAAAAAACAAGGGTCAGAATCAGATCCCTTGCACTGTTTTGGGGTAGTCACCCTGATAGGAGATGTTTGAAAACTTGATCGATAATTTCCTTAATTACAAGATGTTGCAGCTTTCAAATGAGCCTTTGATTCAAACCAAACCAATCCATTTGAAGCAACCTGATCAGTGAACAATGTCTAACAAACTGGATCACTTTTTAGAAATGAATTGTGAGTAGAACACTCATTAAGAAATGCTTTTCAATCGTGCACTGGTGCTCCACTATGTCTCACATACATAACTATCAAACAAGGGCCAAGCAGTTGCATAGACAGCGTTCCACAATTGTGATACCCCCCCAGAAGAGTTTTGAAAACATGAAGAGGAGTGGGGAGTGTCAAAGTTGCTGAAAATTTCAATTGTGCAAAAAGCACCTGAACGTAACTTGTTGGTACAAATCCTTTTCTTCAGGAAAGCATGCATGACATATTTCAATTTTGACCGATTTGATCATAATCCACTGACCTGTGCAATTGCGTTCTCATGTTGGCCTTGTGTTGTGCCAACATTTTTTCAATAACACAGTCTACCCAGACTGCACACCTGTGTGGGAAAAGAAAAGAATCGTACATTCTTGAGAGCAAACATCAAACAGAAAAAGTGTAGCATGTGTTCTTTGCCAATGTCAATTGTGTTTACATCCATTGTCTGTATCCTGCATAAGGTAGAAGCACCAAAGAAAATGTTTTCTTTTCTTTTGTGCATGAAGTCTGTTTGCTTTTAAAAGCTCCAGCATCTCAGCTCATATAACTTCTTTATCAGTTAGCTTTTTTTTAGTTCAACTCCCAGGAGAGAGTTTGTAAACTGATTTTTATATGCTTGAAATGTAAGATAACATGTTATGGAAGTGTGGAAAGCTATGTTAAAAAAGACATACAAATAGCTCTAGTTCAATTTTGAAAGGTTCATGTTAGATGGAAGGTCTTTATACCTTCAACCTTCTCCCCTGGACTGGAAACCATACCGACATCATTTCAAACCATTGGGGACACTTTGTTTAATTTCACAGACAGCCTACTTTTAGGCATCTGTGTCAAGCGTGGCCAAGCCCTGACATTCAAAGAGATCCAGTCCAATTAGGTCTGGCTTGTGTTATATTAGGATGTCTGTGAATATGTTGTAGGGAAGCAAGGACGGATGGGTGTTTATGTGACCTGCTTTCCACAAAAAAAGTTAAGTCACCAGGCAGGCTTGCAAATGATACAAATTCACAATTCCTTGAACTGCTGAAACACGTGAGCAAGAAGGAAGTTGTCAGATATTGAGTCCAACCTAAGTTGGGCAGGTCTACCCACATTGGTCCTGGACAGCAAACTGTTTTTCCCAGGGTGGTAAAAATTCAAAGAGTGGCAGTACATGCCAATGAGCATCACTGCTGCTGTGTGCTCATGCACAGGTGTATTCGTCTCTATGCAGACATTGCAGGTTTCTGCACGAAAAGAGTTAAAAGCATTTTGTGTGTACACTGCATTGTCACCTCCCCAAATGGAGCACATTTTGAAAACTACTGACAAAATAGAGATTTTGTTGGACTTTTTCCACTTTCTCTTCCTCCAAAAGTACGTGAAGAGCCCAGAGATGGGGGGGGGGTTTCGTCAAGCCCAAAAGTGGAACTTTTGGCACCGCGAACACATATTTTTGTACAAAGGCCTATCACAAGGAGCTTCGGAATACAATTTTGAAAAGTTGCATGTCCGTCGCAAACCAAAGGTTGCATGTAAGACTTGTACACTGTAGTTGTCAATATTGAATAAACATAACAAAAATACATTGATTTCAAACCCTTTGAAACATCTGAAATGTGGATATTTACCATAACTTCAGTACATGTGACTAGAGATTGAATCATGAATATGCAGAATCGTGGTCACCTTGAGCTTGAGAATCAATGTAGGCCTATAAGCCGTGACATGTATGCCGAATATTAGGGTATATTTAAAATATTCAGTACACACACACAAAAAAGATCTCCAACAAGCGAAACTCAGAACTTCAAACCCTTTGAACCCCCCTAGCTTATGGGCCTGTTTAAAAAGTTACCTAAAAAGTCCCTCCCTTTAGTGAGATTCGCCTTGATGCCCAAAGTTCCATGTAACAATCTTGTACATGGAAGGCATGTACTTTACTGGCTTGAATTGGTAGTTCTTTGCCCTTTTCGATGGTGAAGGGCAAACTGGATGAAAAGTTCTGTATGCTACTTCATTATTGATCCCATACGCCATAATTACTGTCTCGCCTGTAAAGGAGTTTGAAATCGGCCATAGAGCAACTGGCAGTGCTGAATTACCATCTGTTCCAACACTGGTTCCCATCCAGGTCCATGCAAATGTACATTGGGCAACTTCTCATATTAAAGTTACCCTGCTCCAAGACACCGGTTGGGATTCAGTTGTGGGTTCCTTTTTACAGCCTGGCAGACAATTACACCTTCTCTAAAAATTCTTAGTCCCTCCCTCTTCCAATGATGCCCATGCATGGGTAATGGAAGAATAAGGGACTTGAATCCTTCATGACACATCCATCTGTGACTGGTACGAGGGGCTGCTTACCCGTCTGTTGTTATCCTTCATTCCACAGATGTAGAGGAAAACCACACTTTTTTAACATTTAGTGCTGTTTGCAACCAATTTTATGACCAGTATCAAGTGCTGGCCATAAAATTGGTTCCTCATTTGGCAGAAAATGTTTTCTCTTTGCAGCATGAGGTGGAATATGAATAATATTTATAAAAACGAAATGAAAATATTTCGGAAAAAAAAAATCATTAGTACTGGTTGCAAATTTGCATTTCATGTTTCACGACATACTAGCACATGTAGGTCTTTGTTTGTTTTTGTTGAGGTAATGTATCACATATAAAAGAATGTTGCTATTACTGTCACCCTGTGTTCCGTTTTATTTGTTTGCCTATGGTCTGTTTACAGACCACACTCTACGTGAAATATAAAATTTAAACAATTTATATCTGCAAAGAAGTGCAAGGTGGTACAATTAAAAAAGCTAATTAGTGCACAGAAGAAGCCTTTTCAGTCACGAGGGGCTTCTCTTTTGGGGGGGACGAGGATTCTGATTCATCTTAATGACAGGACTGCTTTTATTTGAGAAACAAAAATTACACAGTTTCCTCCCTTTAAGAGCACTTCCTCAAAAGCGATTAAGGCATAATTTGGGGTTTGATAAGTCGTTCATCTGGAGGTGGCCAGGGAAGCTGTCCCTTGGGACTAGTGGGGCTTTGGGCTGCCTGGATGAAACTGATAAATAGAAGCTAGAGGTCAGCTGTTTCTACACTTAACTGCATGTCACAGTCATGATGTAAAGAAGACTCCACAACATTTTCCTTGATTTTTTCTGAACAGTACATTTAGTAACCAGATATCACTTTTTTTTGTAAGGCACTTTCAGGATGTGTCTTTTGTGCTGCCATTTAAACCATGAGTTGTTTTATCATCTGCACTGCAACTTTTGCGTTCTTCCTCACATTACACACAGACATCTGTGGATTCATTTTACTGTTATTGCGTCTGTGTACCGAACATGGTTCTGGTGAACAAACTTTCATGTTTAGTTACTGAATAACCAATGTTCCATCAGTCTAAATGCAACACTTTTCTGACCTGAACATTATTGCTAAGATTCAGGTACATACAAGCATCAGTGTTAGGCTTGGTACAAGTCCATTTTTTTTTTATCATTCACTGTTAATTTTACGGTCGGTATCCAGATATCCGTGAGGGCAACCTGAAGGCAGTGCTGGGTCTCTTCTTTGCACTGTCCCGATTCAAACAGCAACTGCAGCAACAGCAGCAGCAGCAGCGGCAAGCCAGCCAACAGGCCCGGCCGCACGCAGCGCACGGCAGGCACACCACCACCACGGCAGGAGGAGCAGCTCAACACAAAGTGCAATATTCATCGTCGTCAACGACGGCAGCATCGCAGCAGCGACAGCAGCAGCTGCAGACGAGGCAACTCGCTGCGTCCACAACTCAGGCAGGACAGAAACGGCAGACAGTGCCGTCGCAGAAACAGCCGGGCAATTTGCAATCACAGGTACCTTTTTTTCATAATCAATAAGCCAATTCAGCAATCAACGAGCACTTGATAAGTGACAAACTGTAATCAATCACTCGATAATGCAGTTAGACAGCTTGTTCATTGACCAGTAACCAATTAGCAATGAAGCATTTTATTAGGGATCTATTCCTTGTCATGTTCATGTACATTAATAAAGAGGTTGCCAAGTGCCAAAAAAAGCTGTGAACTAGACTGTTGTCTCAAGAACCTGCCAATTTTAAATCTTGTCATTCAAAGTTCTCACAGTCATGGAAGATCATGGAAAGAATTGTCCTTGAATGTCATGAAAAGTCCTTGAAAATGATGAAAAAGTAGTATGTTATCAAATCTTTTGTCAGAGGAAAAAAGTGGAAAAAAATGACAAAAAGGTAGATTCGTTTTTTTATATATTTTTTTTAGAGAATCGAGCTTTTCATGTGTTTCACTCTTTTCTTGGTTTCTTGGTTATTTCTTCCTCAGTCATCAGTGCAACGTCAAACTGCCACCAAACCCCAGGCCAACCCCAGGTCGGCATCCCAAGGCAGACCCCCAGCCAGCAAGTCCTCCCACAGCACCACTCCCTCGCCTTACCAGGCGGGCTCCAAGGCCCAGGGTCGGCCGGGTGGGACCAGCAGTCAGCTTGGGGCCCAGCAGCGCAAGCAAGGGTCCTCTACCACTTCACTTGCTTCATCAAGTAGGAATAATGTTGGTTTTTAAATTGCGAAATCTAAATGAAGCACAATATAAGTATTTGGTTATTTGTTTAATCTTTGCAAATCCTTCAAAATCAACCTACAGGTTTTGAAGGATTTTAATAACGCTAATAATAATAAGGGCAAATGTAGCACTTCATTGCCAAAGTCTCCAAGTGCTTCACTGTTTAGCCTTGCCCATTGGACCATGAGATCTGCCTCTGTGACAACTTGAGATCAGCACAATTTGATCTCAACACTCCCAGGTACCGATTTGTACTCCTGGGTGGAGAGAGGCAATTGTGGTGCATTGTCTTGCCCAGGAGAACACAAGCGCCGACACCTGTGGCGTTCAAACTCACCAACTACGGCATGTGAGTCAAACACCAGAGCCATTGGTACACCGCGGTACTCTGCATGTGGCACTTCACAGTGTGTGGAGTACTATGTGGGTATTCCACATTTTGTGGGGACTGGGAAGTACAGCCCGCTAGTATTCATTTTTCATATTAACCTTGCTGTCTCTTAACAATTTGAGTAGAAAGGGTGTGTCATTAAGGTGCTGCATAGCGATGGGTTTTCGGAAGATTCCAAGTGAATCAACTGCAGGGCATTAGGATTATGCAGAGTTAGATCTACGTCAGATGTTTTTTACTCAGTAACTTGTTCTCATAAAATCCATATTTAGAGTTAGGTTATTTTGCCCCTTCTTCCCCACCCACCGCGGATTCAAAACATGGATATACACTACTGGAGTAACCGAAAGGTTCTTCCAAACATGCTTCATGCACTTTCCAATCTTTACCACATTGCAGCTAAAAATTATCATTGCACGCAGAGACCACTGGAGATTTATGCTTTTTGTTTTTCTTGCACTCGTCGAACTTGTCCTTGTGTAGGGGTTTCTGGCTTTTTTTTTTGCAAACAGATGCTGGTCTGGCTGTTTGAAAAAAAAAAGAAAAAGATTGTCACATGGCATGGCATTTTACCAGTGCAACATCCAAAAGGTTTTATTTCACCGTCCAGTGCGGCGTTGGCTATACAAGGCAATAATAAATGTCTGCCAATTCCTCAAAGCCCACGCATCAAAAGTGCATTTTATTTGACAAGTGTGACTTAATTTTAACGTGTGTGCTATGAGAGTGGCTAACCGGTTTGACGTATTTCCTACATGCCAATTTTTTGTTTATTTTGCAGGGCTTGAGCGAATGAGAGGTAAACAAAAATTAACTAAAAAACGTGCAAGATCTTGTCCGTTTATTTACCTGCACTTTGCATTGCCAGTTCATGAGCCTGCTTCCGTTTGTCACAAGCATGATGAAATAACTATCACCAGGTCCCAGTCAGTGATGTTTGCATTCAACTTGCATGGTCCTTACGACATGAAAGAAAGGATATTAAAAAAGGAATCTCTTCGTAATGTTTGCCAAGGCACTCTTAGTCAATTTGATAGGGATCGTTCCGCCAACTACTGTTTCTAAGATCGTGTAGAATAAAGTGTCAGAGGTTTGCTCACCATCTGGCCTCTGAAATCATTGAATTTCTCGCACCTGATTTCATGGAGCTGGTAAACAGATTTACTGCTTGGCAAGTTATGTGCTGAGCGTCATTCAGTACAGAGCTGGTAACAAACAGTGCATATTGTATAGCATGTCAGATAGTAACCTGTAATTCTGGCACACAGAAATGGTCTGAAGTGGTTGGGAGGTACAGGTACATATACATATGTTCAGCATGGATCTACAGTGCAAATGTTGCCATAGCCTGATATTCGAAGGTGTACATGCAACAATGTCACTGACATTTGGCTACCCTCAGGCTGTATTTTTCCCCAGCCTTGTAGGATGATTTAAAAAAAAGTAGCTGTCATTTGGCAAAGTTCAGTTTCCAAGAAGGCGAAAGAAGGTCCATAAAGCATAACCAGTGTGCCTGTTTTTGTTATGTAGAAATCATTCTGTGTATACTTCATTATCATATGTGAAGCAATATATACATGTATATATCATTCATATTATTTACCATTCACCATAAGTCAGTCCTTGTGGATTTTCTTAATGAGCTGCCGTACTGTTATGCTTGGTTTGAGATGAAGATCAGAATGTTAAAGCTTAATATTGAGAATCGGCAATCATGTCTTCTCTGTGTAGACCCAGTTAGGAATCAGTTACAGCATGGAGGAATCTACAGTACATTTATTCCTTCCTCCATGGCTACAGGTTCTGTGTGTGTTACAGAGGGCGCTGTGTCAGTTGCCTGACCATTAAGGCTAACTTAGCAAGCACACATTGTATTGTTTTTGTTTGTAACCCCATGTTTCTCATACTTTGGAACATTGGTATGTCCAAGACAGAAGGGTTAAGTTGATTTGCTTTTTTTATGGATTGTTTATCAAGTTTTTCTTGTGGGCCTAGAATGAACCTCATGATATTTGAGGACACTTTTCCCCTGTAAAGGTAGCAAAGATATTGTTATTTCCATCTAGGTTAAGTTGAACAACTAACAAGATCTTGTGGTAGTTTCTTTGATGCATGATATAAACTGTAAAACAGGTTGTTTGGCACCATCTCCTGGTTCCCAAGGGTAAACCAATTTTTGTCCTTGTGTGCACAAACTAATGCCATCTTCAGATGACTGCCAGGTGCAAAGGGGACAGTGCCATTCCGGTGTCTGTCATACTGCTCATTTTCAGTGGGTTTACTCAAGTTCATTGGGTTCGTTTGCAGACCTTGAGTTCAATTTATACAGAGGAATGCTTGTAATTTTATTTCCTACGGAAGTGGAAAATTTTGGGCTATTTGGCTCAGGACTAGACACTGGTATAAATTATAGAGAGTTGTTCTCTGTGCACTACTCTTGTCCCTGTTCTTTCACCGGGGATGTATGTTCCAGTCATGGACTCGTTGTCAACTTTGATGATCTTTCTTGTTTACCTTCGATGGGGTATTTTTGACAAGGTTATGTGTTCCACTTCATGAAGTATCTATCCTCCATACTCGATTCATTGACTCCATTCAGAAGCATGCCGCCTTCATATCCACTAATTATTGCTCTCATTTTTCTCCTCTTCCCAAAAGAACAAAAAAAAGAGAGTTTTAATTGGAATAACTGGGGGAAGTGTTCCCTCAGTTAAATGATTTCTTTCCCCCAGAAATGTATGGATGCACGACCTGTCATTACTGCATGCATAGATTAATATGCATGGTGATATGATTTGGATTGCACCAAAATGTCTTTTCTGACAGTTGTTTTCATAGATCCTTTTTTAAAAACTTGTCTCTGTTTTTTTTTCTTCTCTCCATGTTTACTGGTTTCCATCTGCAGCTACCTCTCAAAAAAGTAAGTAAATTTCTCGCTGGAATCCACTTAGTATACTGAAAGAAAAGTTGGTGTAGTAGGAACGATGACTGGATGAGACACTGTGGTCACAGTAACAAGATTGATGTTGGTAATTAAGATGAATCTTAGTATTCAGCTGGAGGTGTCATGAAATGATCCCAGCATTTGTGGGAGGACTCAAACTTGAGGCTTTGTGTCAAATCTTTGGACATTTATTTATCTGTTGTCCAAACAGTCATTATGCCCATTCATTCAAAGTACTCAGTCGCTCGCAGTCTTGGCATCGTCGAGCTTGATTTCTGTTGCACAACTTTGTGTTGAAGTTTACCTTAGGCACTGAACCAGACATGACTACAGCTCAGACTTCAGACTATTGAGCAACATTCTTCGCAGCAGACTAGTTGTAAAGTGCAGCTGTAAATATGGTTGACCTTTCTTGGTCTTATGGAATCAGACCAAAACTGTGCACTTGTTTGAATGTGCTTGATAGGTCTGGTTGTGTTTTGCCAGAATACCACAGATAGTAAGTATGTGCTTCTTGCAGGTAAGACAGTCTAGTGCTGCACAATGCCCTTCATCAAGTGGAACTTTTAGGAATGCATAATTAACTGGATCTTGTTGAATTTTTGGATCACAGTGTTTAACTTGTATTGCAAATGCTTTCAGAAGGCTCTGTGAAAGTATCAAGAGCTGTTGTAGTAAATGAACCAACTTGAACGTGATGAAGATTCATTTCAGAACTTGCCAATTCAAATCTTGGAACCTTCCATGTGGAAATAATGGCATCCAGCTGCTGTGTCCGATTTTTACAGTGGGTTTCCGCAGTTGGAGGAAACGTTATGAGCTTTCAAAGTGATTCAATCCTTTCAAGTAAACACAAGTCTTATCAGACATTTGAAAGCTTTGCACTAAAAGTAAACATCCGTGACATTCACCTACCATTTAGAGGTTAAGGATACCGGTGTTTCTTGTAAGTGCCTGACTTTCTTTCTTTGTGCACTCCTCAGGCAACTCCTCTTCTCATCGCAACTCCTCCTCCTCTGACATGAGTTCCCGTATCCCGACATTCAGCAAGGGGTCCCGGCCCACGGCGGGGTCAGGGATCAGCCAGCGGGGTCAACTGGAAAAGGGACGAGTGCCTTCGGCTTCCCCTGCCCCAACTCAACAAGGTAAAAGTGGGGGAAAAAATCATCAAAATAACATCACGCTGCCACGGTCTGTGTGTGTTTTCCCCAAATGCTGTTCCGTGCAAAAGTGGAAATTAGCTGTGCTGTTACTGGCCTTGATATGTTTTGTACTCCATAAAGAAAAAAGTTTACCAAAATTGAAATGGGAGGTAAAAGTACAACCTATGATTTCCATTTTCTTTTTTTTTTTGGAAAAAACCTTTTTGCTCATGAAAATGATAAAAAATGAAATATACTTATGAAGAATAATGAGATCGGTTAGAGTGTGACCAGTTTCCACTTTGACAATGGAATTTTGCCCAGTGATGGTTGGTTTAAAGTGCATAACTGTTTTGGAAGAGTTTCAAGATTAAATAACAAGGTGATTTTCGAAAACCAAGTTATTAGAAGTTGTGAAAGAGCAAGCTTTGAACCACCCAATCATAGGGAGGGTAACTGATCATTAATTTTGGTAGTAGATGACATATATATATATTATTCAGCAAAATTACAGCTTTAGGACGTATAAATGTGGATGAATGTTTAGCGAGTGCTGATCATTTTAATGGCTACTTTGCCTTAGGAAATAAATAGAAATTCAAAAGTCTTTCTTTGTAATGTATTTTTTCTTGTGAGCAATAATCTTCTTGCCAAAAGAAAAGTGTAAATGAAACTTATGCTCAAGGAAAAAAAATGAAGTCAATCCTCTGGGTTGTGTTAGGAAATAAATAGCTCACCTATTAGCTGTTTACTACTGCCAAACCTGGTTCACTACAGCGACGAAGCAACCAATACTGTCACAAACAAAAGGAGCTAAAAGATCACTAAGAATGTATATAGATGTCAAGCAACCTTGTAGCAATCCGGTGACACAGGAATGAGAGACGGGTGCATGGCAGCCGAACGCAAGGATTGGAAGGGAGATACTTGCATGCGACGACGGGAACCTTTTTCTGAAAGCCGACTCCGAGAATTCCAGCCTCGCTTGGCCATGAAGGCCACCTGCCAAGCCGCAAATTCTCGGTTTGTGGCCCTGCGTGTTCTGCACGCTTTGAATTACACAGTTAAAAGGCTCATTGTTTGGTGGCATGCGACTCTACTCTCGCTTCCACATTCCCGTTGCCTCTTTTCAAAGTGGGGACTATTGTGAAGCTAGTGATTATGATGCAAATTCGGCCTTTTCATTTCTTGGCAACACACAAAGGCCAATCACCATATATACAAGAGCCAGGGTATGCCTTCTTTTTCTTTCACTGTGTTTGCTCGAGCGTGGGCTGAGAATAATAGCTGAAAAGCGGGCGTAGGATCTTAATTTTCACGGCGGCTCTTACCATCATCCGTTGCGAAGGGGTTAAAGAGAAATAGGGTCATAGTTGATTGCTCCTATTACATAAGCTGCTACAAATGTATGGAGTAACTTCAGTTCTTAGTCCACCTAACATTAGATTCTGTTGCTTTAAGGGTGAAGACATTCACACATTCTTAAACCACTTGTCACTGGGGTTTCCGGTACCGGATACGTATGCTTTATACGCGTGGCCGGGGTCTCCGAAACCGGACAAAGGGAACTGGGCCTTGTAACAAGAGACCGTATTTGGAACAAAAGACCAGGCTGCTGGGCATTTCCAACATTTTTTCCACTCTCAATAGTGGAGATAATCCAGCCTTGTTTTGAAACAGTATACCACGGTTTGGGGCAGTTAGTGGGAGCGGATTACCTCCGGGGACAAAAGCGCTCCACCACTGCAGCGATGAGCCACACAGCACCGCTGCATGCTAATCTGGCCCCTACTGAAAAGAGGTCAGCCGTGCACTGTGCCAGGTTTGCAAACAAAAGAAAGTTACATAACATCACACAATCTGGGCTCTTTTTACAAGGTTGCAGGCCTGGCTGAAATACTCGGGCGTCAATAGATTTTGTCTGTCGGACTAGAGTAGCCACCAGACAGTTATTCGTGTGGGTGTAAACGTGCATTAATTGAAATGATGAATTTTTGAAGAATTTTGAAACTGAAAATCTTGAAAAAGTCCCAATTGTGTGCACTGCGTTTTTAAAACCACCCGGCAGCAAGTGGTTAACTCCTTGTGTGTATTCTGCCTGCTACTTTTTATAAATTTCCATACCAGTATCAATAGATGACTCATTTTTTCCTATAAATTGTGAGCACTTGTTTGCAATAAAGTGCCATGTGATGGTTAGTTGAAGTGTCTGCTGGTACTGCTTTTCTGAGTTACGTTTGTGCATGTTCGTACATATATTTCTTGAAGAGTGGGTCAAAAATCTCCTGTTTTTCTTTTGCAGGTGCAATACAAATTAATGCTACAACTACCTCATCTCAGGGTTCATCTTTACCAAATGGTGCCTCACCCTCAAGCAATCTCCAACCTCCTACGCGGACAGCCAGCCAGATCCGCCCCCCCTCGACAACGGCAACCAAAGCCAGCAGCAGTTCTCAGCCAAAACAGACACACAAGCAGCAGCAGCCCAAGCAACGGCAGACGGCGGCGGCGGCACAACAGCAGCAGGAACTACAGCATCAGTCACAGCTACCGCAGCAGCAACCTCCATCATCACAACAAGAATTACAGCTGCAGTCACAACAGACTCCTAAAAGCCCCAACAAGAGCTCCATGCTCACCAAACTGAAATTTTTTGGGAAGGAGCACGCTGGTAAAGATCCTCACGGCACTCCAAAGAGCAAAGGTGCCGGAGGGAAACCGGCCGTGAATGGAAACAACAGCAGCAGCTCGGAGTCCTCTGCCTCGACAGCAGCACCTCAACCGGCCAGGGATGCTTCGGGCTCAAGAAGCCGAACTCCTGCCCAGGAACGGTCGGCCCTGCCGCCGGACAAGTCGCGGACGGGAAGCGGTTTGAAAAAGCACGGCAGCAACTCCAGTATTGGCACCACGGCTAGCAACACCTCCTCGTCTGGGGTGGGGCCTGCGACCAGCACAGGAGGGCAGAGTACGGTGTCATCTCCTGGTTCCAGCCTTGGATCCAGCAGCCCCAAAAATGCACTAAAGGCTGTTGCTCAGAAGACCATTGGGCGGGCCTTCGGGGGAAGTAAGACTAAGCCCCCCTCCAAGCTCCAGTCGAGGGAATTAGGAAAACCTTCTAGCAAAGATGGATCTGATTTGGGAGTGCGGGGTGAACCAGTCGGAGCAACAGACAATCACAAATCAGAGTCAACCAGAAACAGTGACACTTGTTCAAAGCCAGCTGTTAAATCCAAACTGTCACCGCCTGGCAGTAAAACGTCAAGCAGCAAACAGCAGATACCTGGCTCGACTGCCAAGACGAAACTGCCAGTGGCAAACCAAAGCCCATCTCAAGGCTCCTTGCAGATGCCTCCTCCTTCACGCAACCTCACCAAGTCCAACTCTTCCGCAGCCAGCCAGAAAACAGGTTTGAAGACGCCCACATCTTATCAGACTTTTCCTAAGAATTCCAACTTGAATGACACCAAGCAAGAGGCAAAGGATGGGAATACATCTTTCTCACGAGGTGGCACATACAGCACTTTCCCTGGCCCTGGAAACTCAAAGCAAAGGAATGGAGACGTAGCATCTAAACACGATAAGATCTCTCCCGATGAGAAGCCGAAGAAACAAGCCAGTTGTAAACCTAAGAGTTCATCTCGGTCACCGGATTCAAATCGACCCCTGCCAGCATCGCCAAGCCACAGCGCATCTCAGCGGTCCCCTGCAAACACTGCAACAGTTGCACCATTCAATTATGTTGGTTCCCGGCCAATGTCGAAGGAGTCTAGCGAGATGAGCATTGCAAGTGCCAGCGTGAGTGAGTCTTCAATCGGCAGCACTCCCATACAGAGCCAGACCAGTGTGTCTTCTGGCAACAGTGTGTCATCTGAAAACAGTGTGATACATAAGCCCAGAGAGGATGCCAACGACTACTGCACATCGGTCTACAAGAATGACAAAGTAGTGACGACATTCGGCACCCCGCCATCTCAGCCCCGCTCCCTGAAGGGGTACGGAGACATCCGCCCCTCCAACATGGACCTGACAGTCATGAATGTCCAGCATAGTCAATCCACCTCCAGAACCACCAAGGAGACCACATTTGGGGACAGCGTGACCACCCAGCTGCGGAGCCACCGCTCACCAACTGGATCCAGTAAAGGGACAGTGGGCGGTCCCTCCCCACAAGGCTCGCCACGATCGGCCATCGCAACCTATGGTGCCTCAGCAGCTCGTTTGAACAACCTCAGCTCCCTCCCACTCCAGATCCCCTCCATGCCAGTCCAGAGTGAGGCCCATTACTCGGCCTACTCCTACCGCAGCGGTGGGGTCCCCCAGCGGTTTGTCCCCGCCCCCTCCCTTACTCGCCTCTACGGCAACTCCATGCGGCGTACCACCTCCAATCGTTCGCACCTGAGTGACTTGCAGTTCGCCGAGCAGCCCATCCTGGACGATGGAGATGACCTGTATGATGAAGACCTCGGCAGTGGCTATGTCAGCGATGGAGACATCCTCCACCGGAATGCCCAGCTAGGTGATATTGCCAGTGGCTACATGAGCGAAGGTGGAGGCTTCTTATATGCTAAGAGACTGGGCACAGGGGGAAGCAGACTGAAAGATGGAATGGCGGCAGTCAGGGAGTTTCTGCAGAAGACAGTGGACCTCAGTGATGAAGACAGGTAAGATTTCATTTTCCAAATCATGCTTGAAGTCAAGACCTGTCTTCATGTTTTTTCTCTAGGAATCATTCTTTAAATCGTTGTTACCAACAGATGACAACAACCTGGTTATTGCAAAATTCAGAGGTGGAAGAAATTTCAGTCACTCACTTTCAAATTAGCCGTAAAAATGAACAAGTTGCAAGACAAGTTTCCCAAAGTTGTTTTGTCAGAAGTAAGTATGCAACACACAGTTACCATTTATGCATTACAATGAAAGAAAATTACCGCATGGACCGATTCACTGTTCCTCAAGTGAAATCCAGTGTCATGTGTAACCAGGTGGCTGGTTTTACTATCCATAGATACACTTACTGTATATGACCAAAGATCAGACACACCAGCGGACCCATGTATAATGTCCAAAACAATTCCAAAAAGAAAAAAAAAAACAAGGAAAAAAAAGAACATAACAAAAAAGAACAAAAAGATTCCCTTATACTTGGAGTCAGCATGATGTAACTTCTGTTTTGCTTCATACTGTGCAAAGGGTTATAAAAAGTGTTGGCAGTAGGCAACAATTTAGTCAAGAGGATGGGCGTGATTTAAGCGGGGCCCTGATATCCAGGGTCAACAAGCCGTATTTGAAAATGTCGACAGTAGAAGCTTCCAACTGAAGTGAGGGAGTTGGTTCCATTCAGAGACTACACGTGGAATACGTATTTGTAGCGGTCCTTCTTGGAGTGAAGATCAAGGAAAGAATGTGGAGTTTGCAGCCTGTAGATAACCTGCTGGATGTTTTGGAAAGTTTGTCATCCTGGAAAGCTACTAGGTCGTTTAAACTCTTGCATAAGAAAATTAGCCTACAGACTGCCCGGGGTTCTTCCAGGGGCATCCACTCTAGTTTTTTTTTTTCAACATGGTCATTACACTGGCATATCTCTCGTAATTTCTGGTTAGAAAGCGAGCCGCTTTATGTTGAATATTCTCTTGTGCAGTTTTATCAGACTTTGAGTGTGGGTCCCAGATGCTGCTGTAGTATTCTTTATTGGGGGTGCACTAAAGGCTTGTATAAGTACGTGACTTTTAACTTGCTCACTGCAACCGTGCAGGTATCTCCACAGAAGTCCCATCATACTTGCTGCTTTAGCGGTGATCTTAGATATGTGGTAGGCCTATTTCCATTCCAAATGGTGTGAAATTACTACTCACAGGTGAGGGTGGCGTTTAGTAATCTCAAGAGGAACGCTAACCATTCTGGACTACTGGTAAGCCTTAGGGCATCTTTTCTGAGTAATGTGCATGACAAGGCACTTAGCAATATCAAAACTCACTTGCCATGTTTTGGACCATTTGCACAGGTTGTGGATATCGTATGGAAGAATTACAGAGTCTCCAGGGTCTCCAACTAAATACAGAAACTGGAGAAATTGAGTGTTCTGTAGCCTACTCTGTCATGAGTGCCACAAGAGGGCGCTGTATAGATTTTTCTTGGGTTAAAAAATCATTGGTTGATACTGATCAAGCTTGACCAAAAGGTGGCGCTCTTCACAATTTCTGTTCAGAAAGTGGAAATATTTGGAGCTCTGGACCCCTTCATTTTGAGCTCGAAAGAAAGTGAATACATAAAGTTGGTGGTAGTATTTTGAATCAGCTACCTTTGCTTTAGGAATCTTGAATTGATTAATAAATGCAAGCCCACATTGCATTTTATCACAGATTCTGGTATCGCTACACTTTGTTATTGTGACTTTGTAAAGCACCCACGATAGAAATCCACATTGTGGTTCAGTCAGTAATCAAAAATAAGGAACCATCCGTGTTAATTGTTCAGATCCAAATCAATGAAATATATCCTCTTTAAAAGATGAAAGAAAAAAATTTAAAAAAAAATGATTCGGCAAAACATGTAAGATCACCCCCTCCTCCACGGACATGTATCATTGCCTGTAGATTTGACAGCAAATGTGACCTGGGACAGGTGTGAAAATGACCAGCGGGGATCCTAACAAATTGGATGGTGACCCAGAGATTGGATTGCCTCAGGTTGGGAAGAAATTGGCCCCTGTCACCAATAGGGCAAAGCAAAAAACAACATTTCTTGAATAAAGACAAGCACAGAATTCTTTCTTAGGAACATTGGGCTCTCACCTTATGACATGACTGATTTCTGTTTTCCTAAGTGAGACAAGATCTTTGACCTATTGGGGACGTGTGCCACACCCCCCTTTTCAAAAATGACAGAGGGATGACGTTTTTTGGAAAAACTGTTTAGTTATATCATTTAGGAAAAGGGTCTGTTTTATTTCAATATTGGGAGTAGAAGTTGAAGAGTGAAGAAATTTGAGAGTTGACCTCTTTTTTGACCTCTTTCCAGAAGTATTCTAGTAGCGTGTCTAAAAGTTTACAGTTCTGTGTTAGATTTTGGGACTTTCAGTCATTGGGAAGTTTACTGTTCCAAGTTTCCTAACACCATGTTGCCAAACTCAACTTCTTTATTACATTTTGTTTGTTCAAAACGTGGACTAGCTTTAATGAAATAAAAAAAAGAAGTGCCAAGATATGTCCAGTTGTGTGGCAAATCTGCCACCTCTGCAATTTGTTTTTCCCCAGCATGTCCATTAAATGCCCTGATCTAAGCGTTCCACGAATAGGTTACTAGAATGCGGATTAGTGGTTAGTCCTTTCAAATTGATTTGTTCAGCAGTCCGTGCATATTATGTCTGCCAGTAAATGAAATTTGTCTGTGATGTGATTCCCTGGTACGTTGTCAGTGGTCGGCCAACTGTACCCCTGCTGTGGCCCTTAGATGAATGGATTCTAAAAACGGGCTGTGCACTTTAATTTTCTTAACCCGTAGGGCTGAAATGATGGGAACGTTTCCTCTGATTTTGTTTTCTCTTTGTCTCTCTCGCCTGCTGTTCGTTGCTCTTTGGCATGATTTTCTCAAAGTGCAGTCTGTTAATGTGCTCTCCAAGGCTGAAAAGTGGACTTTGCAAAACTGACTTTGGTCACAGTATGATTGAGAATCCCGGCCAGTTTTCTTCCTGTCCACACAAATCCTTATTTCATCTTTAGTTGAAATTTTGGGTGATGCTTTTTAGGGTAAAACTGATACAATCATTTTTTTAAACTAAAAATATCAGTGCAGCTCTCCCTATTCTTGGAAGTTATTCTACAAGAATTTTATGATATATTTTAAACGTAACCATGTTCTGTTGAAGTTAATGCTATTCTGGTCCTTGCCCTCAGTCTTATCAAGTCCATCTGAACAGTTGTCTTTACCCAGCTTTTTCCTTGCAACATTCTAAACTTTTCACAAACCCATGGATCATATACATGTATAGCCTATGATTTTGCCTTCGTGAGTGTTGCATTTTTACCGTTAATCAGCCGCAGAAGTAAGTATCAAAACTTTCATGGACGTGACTTCTCCAAAGTGCACTCGTGTCCCTGAACTTTCCCAAAGAAACCAAGTCCTGTTTTCCCAGGTGAAACCAAATCTTGTTTGCTTGACTGGTCCAGGAATCAAAAGACAATCTTCACTCTGTGTTTCCAACCCCAAAGGTGAAACTGTGTTTTTGTTCGGTTGTGTCAAATTCCTAATTTGCTGGAAGTCTGTAAAGTTAGACCAAGGGGTTGGGATGAATACCGAGCTTATGAATATCGCCCCTGTCATTCACATTGGTGAGATGGGCCGTGAAGCAAGGTGGAAAGTGCACATGAACTCAGTTAGTAGTCTTGGACTCACTTTTGGAGTCTTCTTAGAATAGGATAAGGGTATCAGTGTGGTCCCGGAGCTTTCCTCTCACAGTTTTTGGGACTGTTCTGTGGGGATGGTATCTATGGCAAAGTATCTAGGCTTTGAAAATAATACCTTTGATTATCTTCACACTTAATTGTCATAAATATTTTGTGGGTTATGGATAAGATTGTTTTCTACATGCTTTGTTTATCAAGCAGGTCTGTATTTGTCAATTGTTATTCATCCAAAATCCATTCAATTATCCATTCAGAACTTCTTTGTTGTTAATTTAGCAAGATGTGCCTCTGTCCAACACCTCTTCATGTACCCCATGTTAGTGTTTAGTAACATTTTTGGCCCCTGGACAGTCTGTCCAGCTCAAGTGTAAAAAAGGGAACTGAAAAGGTTGTGTGCACTTTACATGCAGCCATACACTAACAGCCTTTGCCTGATCCTATTATTCAATGTAAATGTGGGCAAGTTGATCCTCTGAGAGTTTTTCCAAGCCGACAAACGATGAACTCCTAAACTTCCAGCTGCCCGGGTTGCTGCACGGAAGCTGTTGTTGTAGAAAGCGATACACCTTGGTAGAGAGGAGAGGGAAAGCGAAGCGAGAAATTTGACAGCAGCCAGGAAGTGGGAACGGGCGGAATAGATAAGAAGGAGGGAATGATACATTTCAGAAAGGGTAGAACGTGAGAATGCACTTGTACTTGGGTATGGGGGGGGGAGGGATGGGGAAGCAGCAGCATGCATCCGTGGCTTGAGGGTAGGGGTAGCTATTCCTGGTGTCAACTTCACTCTGGGGAAGAATAATAAGCTCATTCTTGGACTCCTTGAGTGTGGAAATTTTACGGTTCACTGTACTGCCGAGTGGCCTTGCGTGTTCATTCCTGCATTAGGTTGTCAGCCCCCCTCTAAAAAAACTGACACTCTATGGACAAGCAACTCGATTATCCACTGCTGTCGCGATTATGCAGCCACTGGTGAAATGTCTCATTTGGATGGAAAGAGGGGCTAGGATGAGCTAGGTTATCGTGTCAACAAAGTACGGCGATCTGGAAAATGTTTGAATTAGCCCATTTGCAGAGAGTTTCTTTCAACTTAACGAGGATGAGGCTGTGACATGTGAAAACTTTCAGATGCAGTGAAGTTTTATTTAGAGCCCCACACCAACAATTTTTTTTCTTTGATAATTATGGAGAAAATTGTAAGAGAGTGCCGTTGATTAAGGTAAAAAAGGAAACAAAAACAGCCACTAGTTTTGACATTTTCC